CCATAAAATAAGTAACGTAACTTTTAAATTTTGTAATTGTGATCAATGAACAAATTATGACTTTTAAATTTTTAAGTTGTGACCGATAAACAAATTATGACCTATGAAATTTTTGAATTGTGACCTAAAAAGTGGCGGAACGGTCATCGGAATACTCTTCGGAATCCGAGCAGTCGCCAGAACAATCATCGGAAAGGTCGTCGGAAAAGAGTGGTGATCGAAAAGGTTGCCGAAATAGTCACCGAAGCTGTAAGGGTGGTGGATGTGGGGTGGGTTAATTATATTATATTAGAATTAAATATTTAATAATAAATTGATTTAATAATTATTATTTTCATAAATAAAAATTTAAAGAAACCTGATTTTTGAAATGGATGAAAGTAAATACCTGATTTATGTATTGTTCCCTTGTTACTTTATCAGGGCCCAGCTGCCCTAGTGAAAAGCCCATGCATGAGTTGCAGAATACCTGAGATATGGGCTTTGCTGGTTGTACAAGGCCAGTGGCACCCCCTATAGGTGGAGGGCCTGATCATGTACAACCAGCTTTATCACGGAGATAAATATCTCCACCACTTATGGGCCCGTGTGGCCCGGTAAAGCAACATAAGTGCTCAAAAATTATGTTCTACACTTCCTAGTAAATTGATTTCACACGTGTTTATTAAAATAAATTTATTTTTTCGAAAGAGTTTAATGAAATAAATTGCTTACAAGTTCGCGTGTAAAGCACAGGGGATCCAAATCCTCATACATCAATTCTTCTTCTTGTTTGGAACGAGCTTAATTTATTCGTACAACTTGCATCTAATCCAACTAATTGAATGAAATTCTTATTTGATTTTAATTTAAGTCAAAATTAATAATTATTTTTAACCACATATTTTATAGAATCCACAAATTTTCAATCACACATTTTATCATTTTTTTATATTAAAAAACTGATTTCAATCCCAATCAAATAAGGGCTAAATTCATTATTTCGATAATTTTTTAATAAAAGTGACAAGCACTAAGGGCATACATATAAATGAAATAAGTAAACTTTACGATACATCTCCCTCGTAAAAGGAAATCACTATGGCATAAAAGAAGAGTTTCATACTAAACTTACACCGTTTATATCACATGAATATTGAATTTTTTAAAGAATGAATCGACGTTCATAATTTCTACATTTCATAATGAGATTGATTAATTAGATCGTGAGTAATGTGACCCCCAAAGCAAAACCCAAGATAAAATTATAATATGCTTTTTATATTCAAAAAATATTTGGTTTATTTGAAAACTTTTTAATAAAAATATAAGTGAAATGAATAAAATTAACGTGAAACTCGACTCATTTTCATAAATAATTTGTATTAATTGTATAACTATCAATTAATATTGACCAAACATCTAAAAAAATGATAACTACAATGGGCATGTTCTCTTTGTTGTTTTCAGGTCATTTTCAATTTT